AGTTCATCTATCTCCGGTAGTTCCTAAGAAAGGGTCATTCAGGAGCCTTCCATCTGTTAGTCTTTTTGGTATTCACCAAATCCTCAGTAAGAGCCAATAATCTACTTTTCAGATGCTTCTTGGCATGAGCAGAGAGGTTATCACAGATTATGTTTAATGGTCCAGGTGAGGCTTTCTGACCTGTGTGCTGGAGTTCTTTTCCAGTGAGCTGCATTGTGAGCAGCCCAGCTACCTGACATGCTGATCAGATGGGCTTTGGTGAATGTGTTTTGCTCATACACAATCGGAAAAGACATTAGGCCAACTGGCAATATTCTATTCATAGAATTTTCTGCCCTGCCCTTATTTGTATTTGGAGCCAAGTGACTCCCAGAGTCAGCTCTAGACAGTTCAGCCCAAAGGAAAGTTCTAGCATCAATAGGTCTCCAACTTTCCTGTATATTTTGATGGATGTTTGCATTAAATTAACAGCTTCTGTGGTCTATATACTAGTGGTAGTTGTGTTGAGGACTTCTCCTTAGTGTTATAACCACATAATCCACTGTTGTAATGAATTAGCTATGTGTGAGCTTATGTCTATTTATCTGTATAGTGTCGACATGCCAAGGCTAGTTTTCTTTCTTAGTGAAAGCATGGAGGTAGCTTTGAAGCCATACAAAAAAGTTTGTGATACCTATGCTAAGATTTGACAGTAGGCTAGACAGTTGGCTCAGCTGGTTAAGAGCACTGGCTGCTCTTGTTGAGGACCTAGGTTCTGTTCCTAGCACCCAGGTTGTAGCTTAAAACCACTTGTCACCCCAGTTCCAGGGATCCACCATTCTCTTCTGGCCTCCATGGGCACCAGACAGACATGCAGTGCGCATACTGGTCAAAATCATATACATAAAAATAAAACATCTTTAAAAGGGTTAATAATGGTGGTAGTGGGCTAGAGGGCTGTATCCCTTCTCTTTAATGGTAAACATGGTGACATTGTAAATTGACTAAGGTATGAAGGTTTACACTTTTATTCTCAAGATGTCAGTGGCATGGTTATTTTTCCTTTTAACTTTTTTCAGATGCAGCATCTTGGACTATGAAATAAATGAGATAGTTATTGGGTTGGAGTCTCTGAGGAATTATAAAGGTTTATGTTGAGTCTTACCCTCTATCACCCTGTTATCTACCCTGGAATTTGAACCTAATCACTTTGGAGTCACCAGATAACAAGCCAAGATCCTTTAGGGCAAACAGAGGAGATGCTCTATGAAGAGATTGAGTACGTGATTCTAGGCTTACAGATGGTGACCTGTGCCTGGTCAGTGCTCTCTGTCCTCATCAACATGAGTTATTTTCAGCAAAGTACACACTAGTATATTCATCAGGAGAAGTGGGAGGCATCATTGCCATTGAATTACCCATTCCAACTGGGTAGGTGTTTTCACTCAAGGGAAGTCTTAGTTGGGACCTTTTCTGTACAGTGTAACTCCCAGAGTAATCACTACACTATGTAAAAGTACACTAGGCTTGAGACTGGGATATTTGACTTGTGTGTTCATTTTTTTGTCTTGATCTTCTGTCTAGTAAAAGAGATGGAGTTTTCCTTGGATTTAATGAAATTCTATGTTTGCAGTTTGTGCTAGTGGAAGTGGCTGGCAAGTTCATCAAACTATCTTCACAATTTGGTCCACTGAGCCCCAGGTACAGGATGACCCACAATGAAGTCATTTTGGCATTATTCTGGCCATTATTCTTTAATGGGAATTCTAGAGTCTTAAAGTAGTTTTATTATAATACAGTGTTCTCAACCTGTGGGTCAATCTCTTTTGGGGCCAAATGACCCTTCACAGGGGTCATGTAGCAAATATCAGATATTTATATTATGATTCATAACAGTATTAAATTTACATTTATAAAGTAGCAATAAAATAATATTATGATTGGCAATCACCACACCACGAGAAACTGTATTAAAGGGTCATAGCATTAGGAAGTTGAGAACCACTGATACAATAATAGTGTCAAAAAAGGTTTTGATTATCTTAATGTGGCAAGCTCAACCTTTTCTTATGGTGTGTGTGTGTGTGTGTGTGTGTGTGTGTGTGTGTGTGTGTGTGTGTGTTTGTGGGTAAGTCCATGTGCATGTGAACTGATGGTCATTTAGAATAGATGCTGCTCTGATAGCATTGTTAGTCTGGGAATAGAATTTGGTGGCAACTAGCCTGTGGGATGAAAATAGTATCCCATGTAATATTACCTAGTGTATTTAGCTTTCCTCTCCTCCAAGACAAAGAACCAGGGTCCTCCTTTTACCATGGTAAGATCAAATTTGTTCACTTTCTTTTCAGTGACTAGAGATATCAGTGAGAAAAGACCAGATCTGTGCTGTGTCATTACAGCTGTCTTGTGGTCTACTTCTTTGAGTTTGTATTTTGAAGTTGGAAACTACACAAATTAAGCACCCAATATCCACTGTCAAGGAGTGTCTGAGTTAACACAGTTAAGTTATGAGCTTAGCTTCTTGGCATTTTGCTTGCTGTCTTTAGGCAAATGCCTGCAACTGCCAGGGATGTGTCTGTCTTTGGGTCTTTTCTCCTCTGTCTCAGATGCCCTCAGGAAGCGTTGTGCGTCTCTACATTCACCTACTCCTTCAGTGAGCTCTTTTCCTGGATGGTTTAGGGTAAAGCAGAGAAGACACATGGGAAGTGGTGTGCTCTGACTGTATCACTCCTTCTTCAAAGCCAGATAGCATCAGAATTAGTTAGTGTCTGAGGGTGGCAGACATTTTTGTTTCTGACCATCAGTGTGTAGAAGTTGAAGGAAGCTGAGCCCTTACAAGTGCCTGGAGCCAACTTCATTACAGCTACTCTTTCTTTTTTTCCTTCACTTGTTTTGGGACAGAGCCTCATGTAGCCTGGGGTGGTCCTGAACTTGATAAGCTATGCCTTCTGGGTTCAGCAACAGTGGTGGTGCACACCAAGATGCCAGGCTCTGCTCTGCCTGTTTACTTAGACTGTGCACAGAACCTGTATCTGCCAGGATCATAGGAGGCTGGCTCTGACCTCTGTATCTCACTGCTGTGTAAACCCTGGCATTGCCAGGCTATTTGCAAGTCAAAGGAGAGGGATGGCATTTCTTTCCTAAGGACACTTTCAGTTCTCAAATTCTTTGATGTGACAAAAGCAGTGAGATCAGAGAAAGGAGGAAGTTTCAGGGGAAAGAAGGCAGCAGAGGCAACCTCTAAGATCTCTCTCCATCTTTGCCTTTGGTTTCATTCACACCTCTGTGCCTGCCTGGCGTTTCCACATATTTCCTGTGTAATGTGGACAAATAGACCTCTGTACTCCTCCATTTCCTTTCTATTTGCTGGGAGGGACAACATCTGTAGAGTTATTTCATTTTAAGGATTACATCTGTACACCTCTGAAGCTTCTGCCATCAGGTAGGCTCCTACAGGTCCTCAATAAAGATGAATATGGTGCACTTGTACTTTGTCTTCCCAAATTGTTAAACCCATTGGGAAACTGGGCCTTTCCCTGTAGAACCTGCTCTAGCCTAGGTGTCCTGATCAGGTTCTAGAGTCAAGGTCAAAGGCAGCCTTCACGATACCACCAGCATTTTACTTAGAGCAGAAAAACACCAGGTGGCGATTTTTCTTCATATCCCTCAAGCTGAGTAGGTGGCAGAAAGGAAGAGGGAAAGTCTCAGATTCTGCACCCATGTCCTACTTTCTCAGCAGTCCCTCCACACCCCTGTGTCTGGAGCACCCTCAAATCTCTCTCAACTTTTCCCTTGTTTGTGAAATATCTTCCATATTTCAATCCTTCTTGGGGTTGGCATATCAGTTTTGATGTCTCTATTTGCTTTTCTCTTGTTATCTTCCAGCTGACTTTTTGATGGCTGGAAGCTTGTGTTTTCAACACCTCCCTGAATGCATCAAGCATCCCCACTGTGGGCAGTGCCCTTAGTTAACAAATAATTGCTCACTTGTCATTGGTTACCATGGTAGCACCTGTTTCTTCTCACACCACATTCACCACTAGTCTCATGTCTAATTTTATCATCAGAAATTCTGCCTCTTTTCATCATAGGGTTGGTTGAGAATGAGTGCTTAAACTTTGAACTTTGACCTTTAGAGAAATTTTTTTCTCCTCTTTATCCTGTAAAAATGAACCATGTTTTCATTGTCATCATCTTCTGGATTACTTTATAATGAGCAACGGGGTCAAAACTGGGCTGGTTTAACCACAGAAACAGCTGACCTGAACAAGGGGGAGCTCTTGGAACCCAAACTGATGGCTGGGAGGCCAGCATGGGACTGATCCAGACCCCCTGAATGTAGGTGTCAGTGAGGAGGCCTAGGCAATCTATGAGGTATTAGATCAATATTTATCCCAGGTATACAAATGAACTTTGGGTGCCCATCTCACAATGAGGAATGCTCTCTCAGCCTGGACTTTGGGGGAGGGCCTCCGCCCTGCCCTGAATGAAATGACAAACTCTGGAGATCCTCCATGGAGGGCCTCACCCTCCCTGGGGATCGGAGTGGGGAATTGAGTGGGGGACCAGGAGCCTTATTGGGGGGGGCATGGGAGGAGATGATGGAGAAGGAGCTTGGAAAATAAGTAAAATAAAAACAAAACAAAAAACCCAAAGATTTCAAAGAGTTAGCCTTGGGAGAGACACCAAGGCTTCTGAAGATGTTTAATACAGGTGCTTCCCAATAACAATGCCTTTATTTTACAAATGGATGTCCTAAACTCTTGATCCTTCCCATATTCTGTATATGACTGTAAGTCAAGATTTCTCCCAAATTAAAAACAATTCCATGAAGTCAATTTCCATCTGACTATTCTCTATAGTCAGATGCAAGACCCTGTCTTTGATTTTACATTTCTATAAAGCCAAAGGATACGAAAACATTTCAAAACCCCCCTGTTTCTGAACCACCAGCTGTTTTGCAATATGGTCTTATTCAGCGATTGGCTGCTAGTGGAGGGCACTAGTTTCCGGGCTATTTTGTGGCCTCTTTTAAGCACACGGAGGCATCTCCAAGCCGGCTTTGTGAAAAGCCAAGGACATTTTTTCGGCAGAGACTCTGAGCTAGTTGCCACATAAACAAACAGGAGTTCACTTTAGCTTCCTGGGCTTTTTTGGACTGACAGAAAGCGCTAAGGGGAAGACAGAAGCCAACAGGGCAGCCTGGGGCGACTGGAAGCTTGGGAGGAAGCAGTGGATTGCTGCCACCAACTTGCTGCTCAGGGCGAGGCTGTGAAAGTGTGAGCCGTGAACAAACGTCTGGAAAAGCTCTCCGCTGGACATTTTGCCCTTGGCACCAAAGGCAGCATGATGTCGGGCTGGAGAATCTACCTTGGATTCCTTCCTTGTGTGAGTAGTCCTCACTTCTGATGATACAGTGGAAATCATCCATGAGCCTGGTCAAAAGGTCCCCTGTCAGACGCCACATAAGCAGGCTTCAGAGCGAGTTCTTGGGGTAAACCCCACCGATGTGCAATTTGGGGAGAGTGTCATTGCAGCTTTGATTACATTTTGTGCTGGCCAGGGGGTTCTTACATATAGTCACAACGGGGGACCACCCATTGCTGTCAGTGAGAAAGTTCAGGCTTCTTCCTGAATACGAGATTTTTTTTCACTTCCACAGATGCCTTTTTTTGGTATATTTCATTTGTTTATAACTGCACTTTTTAAAAAATATTTATTTATTTATTATGTATACAGTGTTTTATCTGCATGTATGCCTGCAGACCAGAGGAGAGCACCAAATCTCATAGCAGATGGTTGTGAGCCATCATGTGGTTATTGGGAATTGAACTCAGGACCTTTGGAAGAGTAACCAGTGCCTTTAACTGCTGAGCTATCTCTCCAGGCCCTGTAACTGCACTCTTTTCTCTCCTAAATTCCTTCCTTTGTAGTAGATAGCTCTTCCAGGAGTTAGACTAGGGATATATTTAAGTACATGCATGTATATAGTGCAACAAGTTTAATATATGTAAATATATAAATTTATGTTAGCAAGGGTCTAACATGGCTTCCATAAGCATCTTTTCTCTGTGTATACTCTGGTACTTATTATGTGCAATATATTGAGTTTCATATTTGAGACCGGGGCAGAGCTAACTTCTGTCTAGTCATAATTCTATCATGTGATTTGGGCTAAGAATTGTTTGTTTATTTCTTGCCATGATACACATGTGGAGGTCAGAGGACAACTTGTAGGGGTCAGTTCTCTCTATCATTTAGGTTACAGGGATCACACTTAGGTCAACAGGCTTGGCAGCAAGTGACTTTGCCCATAGAGCCATCTCACTGGCCTACTTGCCAAGTCTTTTGCTGGCCCATTGGCCAAATCTTATAGCCTCACAAAACCACAGGCTCTTTACCTTGCAAAATGAGTATCAGGAAGTGTCCTTGAGATCATTTGTAAGATCGGCAATAATAAACATTATCTACAACAAGACTCACAGCAGAATGAATTTTATATCTACATGTTAGATTGAACTGCTTTCCTAGGTTTTAGGACTGTTAAGATCATAAAATAAGATCAACATCTGTCTTTGAACTACCCGAATTGTTGTCCCATTCTACAGAAACACTGTCTGGAGAAGACTAATTGTTAAGTTGGTAATCTACAAACAGAAGCTTGGGAGGGGGGAATCTAAGGCCATGTTCCAGCATGCTTTCTGTGAAACACCAGTGCCCAGAGTGGGCCTTAAAGGCAGAAGTTCTGGGGCTAAAGAAGTTTAGAGCCAATGCATGTTCAGCCCTTCTCATAGTGACTCATGCATTTTTGTTACAATTTTCATATAGGCACTTAATAGCCTCTGTAAAACATTAAGATTTCATAGAGTTTGCCTAATAGTTGACTATACCACCTGACCAATGAACTGCACTACCAGTTTCAATGAACACATGTAGAGAAATACTACTTACTTTCCAGAATCCTGGAGCAGTTCCTGTGATTAATTTAATAGTATCTATGCAAATTCTTCCAGTGATGCTGATGCTCATGAAGTCAGCACCACCTATTCCATGTTTCCTTAGCCACCACAAAATTAGGGACATCTCATCAGTTGTGAGTGGATTTGGGGACTACAAAGAATTCAAGGAAGGCATGAAGAGTTCGCTAGGGAATGCAGCAGAAGATGAGAAAGAGAGAACTTCTATGGTCATCACAACAAAGAAGACAGGAAGGACAGACACAGGAAAACCACAGGGAAGTGTAACATTTGGCTGTGTTCTCCGTTAACATGGTCTGTGGTCCAGTATTAATACAGACATGCTTATTTCTAGACTATTATTTTTCTTCTTCTTGGTGGTTCATTCTGCAAGGATACTAGTGAGAAACGTTAGAGATCCCAAAGTCTAGATATGGTTAGTAGGTTGCACAGGCAATACCAATTCTACCTATCAGTGACTGCCTAGAGTATTGGATTGCATCCTGACTCAGGAGATAAAGGCCTATGTAACTCATAATGATACCTATCACAGATAAGACACATTATCAGGTAAGCAGATTTGCCGTTCTGTATTTACATAAGCAACTGTTTGCAAACAGCAGCATTGTCTTGTCTTAGTGCTAATGCAGTGACTGGTTCCTTTCTACTTTCTTATTTTTTTGTTTGCTTGTCTTTTGAGACAGGGTTTCTCTGTATAGCCTTGGTTGTCCTAGAACTAACTCTGTAGACCAGGTTGACCTTGAATTCACAGAGATTCACTTGCCTCTGCCTCCTGAGTGCTGGGATTAAAGGCGTGTGCCACCATCACCACCCAGGCCTCCTTTCTTACTTATTGGGTATGAATAACATGATACTAAAAAGGTACAGGAATGATCTGTGTCCTTGATGTTGTCTAAAGTCACATTTTATATCAATATGTAGCTGTAGTTCATTAATGTTACTGATAACACTCATTTTGAATTGTCCATAAAACTGCCAGTTTGCCTTCTCCTGAAACTTGAAAGTGTAATATTTCTAGCAGACAGAATCCCTAACGAGATGGCTCATGCTTACAATCACAGCATGTGATAAGTGGAGGCAGGAGGATGGTTGCAAGTTCAAGGCCAACGTGGCCTACAAGGTGAGTACCATTCCAACCAGGGATAAAAAAGAAAGAATTTGTTCAATGACCCCCCATAATAATAATAAATCAATAAAATAAAAGTTAAAAGGTTAATCAGAATAAACATGTATTTCTTTCAAACATTTGGGTAATATGTAAACATACAGAGAAATAAGTGAGAGTTTGCTTTCCTTGTTCTTAGTTTTCTAGTCCCACTCCGATCTTCAGAGTTAGCCATATTCAAATGATTTCTGTGGTTAATTTACACCTCTCTGTTAAGGAGTGTCTCACAAAATTATGTATTTATTTCTGTAAGAAGAACTTACTTGGAGGCTGGAGAGATGGCTCAGTGGCTAAGAGCACTTCCAGAGGACCTGGGTTCAATTTCCAGCACCTGCATGGCAGCTCACAACTGTCTGTAGTTCCAGTTCTAGGGGGATCTGACACCCTCACACAGACATGTAGGCAGGCAGAACACCAACATACATAAAATGAAATAAGTAATTTTAAAAAAGAACTCATTTTATCCACATTAAAACAACTCTATCATTTCAGTGAAAACACCATCACTAATCAGTCTTTGGTTTTTTTGCTTTATCTGAGGCAGAATCTCAAATAGCCCCACCTAGCCTTGACTTTTCTGTAGAGCCAGGATGATCATGGGCTCCTGATCTCCCTCCCTCTACCTAAGTTCTGAGATTATAGGCGCATGTCTCATGACTAGAGAACCAACCTGCCTTTAGGAGTCAGCCATTGAGAGTTTTACCTAAATTCTTCAAAACAAGTTTTCATAAAGCAAGTTAGAAATGTGCTTGAAGTGGTAGTTATAGCCTCAGAGGAGAAAAAGGTCAGTAATGGAAAAGGTACATCTAAGGAACATTTTATCATGTGTGGCAAAAGACCCGTTAAGAACTTGCCATTAGTTCATCTACTCTTTGCAATATTTAGTTAGGGTGGTTACCATTCAAAACTACCAAGCAGGCAACGCATGTTCAAAGTGACTGAGTCACTTGTCCAGTGTCCGGAGGTTGTAAATGTCAGAGCTGAGAGTCAGGTCCAGGTGTGAAGATCCCTATGACACGCAGCTTCCAAATCCCTAGAAGTCTGCTTAACAAGGGAAAGGACTGAGACAATTAGTCAGCCTCAGAAGTAACCTGGACCTGCTCCCACTCCCTGCCGAGCAGTTACTAAGAAAACTAGGATCCAAAGGGCTAGGCATTCTGGTTCCACTCCATCTCCTTCATACCCCAGTCAATGGCTGTGTCAGGCAAGACTGACATATAGATTATTGCTACCACATTTCTTAGTTTTGCTGCTTTGACAAACACACATACTTAAGGGTATAAGAATTTATGTTGGGTCATGAGACAATGAAGTTCATGGCAGCTGGAGTTTGTGGCCAGGACATGCCACTGTAACAGGCAGAAAATGGAGAGCAATACAGACAGGAACCAGAAGTGGGTATATAACCTTAATAAGACCACCCCTAGTGACTGACTTCCACCATCCAGGCCAAAATAGCCCCAGAAGCAGATTGGGATTTCAAAACGTGAGCATTTAGGGACAGATCATATTTATACCGTAACAGGCATATCGTACAAATGCGTCGTTGGAAGTTCTAATCCCCACTTCATCCACTGTTCTAGCCTCTCCTCCTTGCAGTGTACCTTGTGGAGATGACCTATTGGGTTCTGTTAAGTAGGAGGTTCTCTTTCCTCTGGATTCCAGTTCGGTTTGCCCACTGCCTTGAGAGAAGGTCAAGATACTAGTTTCCCAATTTCCTTCCTGCCACAGCTATTTCTTGGTGGTCAGAGTCCTATATTCAAACCACAGCTCCTGCTATGTTAGCTGGCTTTCTTCCCTGTCCTCAGTTCTCCCTACATTCCCTCCCGCACACTCAGGCCTCAGGGCAGTAACAGTGTTCTATTCTTACTAGTCCAGGTGCATTGCCGTTTCTTGGTTCAACACAGCGTTGCCTCTACTCTTATAAATGCTCTTTCATTAAAATGCCTTTAATTATACCTTCTGACTGTGGCATCCGTCTGCTCCTGGGGACATGATTGATGTAGTAAGTGAAACCAGGTTTTGTTCCAGAGAGCAGATCCTCAAAATGAGATTCTGGGATTACATTGCTCAAGTAGTTGATGAGGGCACAGATACTCAGCTTGCCAGGGTGAAATGGATAATGGGGTATGCAATGAAATAACATTACTCAAATTATCAGCAGCTGCTGCAAAGGATGGAGCGCAGATGGCAGGAAGGCATTGGGAGATCACATTTTTAGTTGTGTTTTCAGGTGACTTAGATTACATGGCTCAGCTATGGGCCACAGTTTATGAAATCCTGGAGGGCACAAATAGAGAAAAGGACAAATTATCCTCGGATGATCAACCTAAGGCATAAATGAGAAATCTATCAGATTGCCTCGTAGGAAATATTTAAAGAATCTCTTACATTTGATAGCTTCAGGACAAATCTATATATCTGAAGGTATCTTTATATGAATTTCTCCTCTGGAGTTATAGCTCAAGCACATCAGTTCTTGAGGTGACATGCTGCTGTATAATTGTGTCCCTTCCATATGGAGGCAACAGTCATTTGCCCTCTCAAATTATTGGCTATGTATTCAAAATGGGTCCTTTCCTTCAAATTTATTATTTCCCCTAGGCTATCACATTTAATTCACTAAATGGTGAATAAAGTGTGGCTAAGGGTTCATACTCACCAATTTCACTGTCTTCATGTAATTGCAGATTGGACTGCTGCTGGTTCAGTTTCAATAACACGGATATAACGAACAGGGAGGTTGAGATGTGTGCTTCAGATCAGAGGTAAAATGAAGGTAGGCTCTCACTGGCTGCCAGGACTCATGGGTCAGGGAATGAAGATGTGTGGGAGGAATAACTCTCACTAGCATCCCTAACAACTCACTTCAAGAATGTCCCTACAACCTTGGACATGGCATCTTCAGATGTTCTTGGCCCAATGGAAAAAGAATTCCTGTAGGGAGTGAAAGCTGTGTGTCCTAATTTGCTCTTGCTGCAATAAACAACAAATGGCACCTGGGAGGAAAGGGTTTGTTTGGCTCACACATCCTGATCTCAGTTCATCACTAAGGGAAGTCAGGGCATGACCTAATGCAGATCAGGAACCTGGTTGCAGAAACTGAAGCACAGACCTCTGATATAGGCTGCTTTCTGGTTAGCTCTTCATGGCTTACTCGGTTTGCTTTTTTTATACAATACAGGACCACCTGCCTGGGGGTGATAGGTCTGCCAGCATCAATCATTAATCATGAAAATGCCTCACAGGCTTGCCCATGAGCAATCTGCTGGAGGTGTTTTCTTAATTGAGGCTCCTCTTACCAGATGACTTTAGCTTGTGTCAAAAATAACAAAAACCTAATCACCGCATTGCAGAACCATTGAGTCAGAACTTGAGACAGACCAGCTCCTTAACAGGCAAAAATGAGGGTACTGTATTGGCTGGGGTTCTGAACTTGCTTCAAAAGGTGACTTTGGGTTTCTGCTACTACTGAGATAGCAAGGATAGGTCTGAATTTATTGACACTTTTCTTAGTGACTGTGTAACATACCAACCTGTGAAAAAACACAGTATCTCAGTAAATGGACAACAATAGGCTTGAGTTTTGTCCAGCAGAATTCAACTCAAGCATTTTAGTAAAGACTTCATCTAGCTAACATGCTTGCAGAGAATGAAAGGAACAAAGGATGGTAGGAGTCAATTGCGGTTCAGTCAAGAATACGTGCAAGGAAGAAGACAAATGCTGGCAGTGTTGGCTATTTACTCTATGTTAAGACCGATTTTCTGCCCTTGAGCATGCAGATCTGCAAGAGGCTGATATCCATGGGCTATATATACTCTCATGCCCCAAGATTTCAGTTGGAACGACAATGAAGACTCTGAGGACAAGAGGAAAGGACAGACTATACATCCCTTGCTCTCTCCTGCCTAGCCATAGAGTGGTACCAGATGCTTTTCTCTCTCTCTAGCCAGGATTTTTGCTGAACAGTCCTGTCTTGCAGCTGTAGCTTTCTCAGGTCTAAACATCCCATCTTTCTCCTCATGTCTTCAAGTGTTGTGAAGCCTCCTAATCCAGTCTCTGGAGATGCCCATCCTTTTTAATCTGTCTCTTAAGACAGCACTGTCACAAAACTCTCTTCCACAAGTCACTTGTGTGAGCTATTGCTTTTTCACAAGTCTTCTGACTAGTGCTCCACTTACCGCCATTCTCCATTTGACACAGGGAGACTCTCCTTTACCACCTCCTCAGACCACAGGCTCCCACATCAGGAACTGCCGGTCAACATCTACATTGAGATTTCATCTCACTCCAGACAGAATACCTTTTATTAAAAACAACAGCATGGTTACACTTCAGTAAAAATGCAGTATAAAGAAGCTTTTATATATACAAGCAATGAACTTATAGAGAAAGAAATTTGAAAAAATATCCCATTCTCAAAAAGTATGTAGGAATAAACTTAACCAAGGCAGTAAAAGACCTCTATAACGAAAACTTCAAGATACTGAAAAAGGAAGTCAAATAAAATCCTAGAGTATGTAAAGATTCTTAGTACTCCTGGACTTTGGCATTAATATTGAGACAGTGGCTATATTACAAAAAGTGATATACAAATTCAACATAATTCCTGTCAAAAATTTCAATGTGATTCTTTACAGAACTAGAAAAACAATCCAAGAATTCAAATGGAATCACAAAACACCACAGATATCAAAAGTAATGCTAAAGAGAAAGAACACATAGTACTGGACCTCAAATTATACTACAGAACTACAGTGATAAAGACAGTATGGTACTGGCATTAAAACAGACAGCTAGATCAATGGAACAGAATATATGACCTGGAAGTAAACCTGTAAATATATAGCCCCCTAATCTTTCTTTTCTTTTCTTTTCTCTTCTCTTCCTTTTTTATTTCTTTTTCTTTTTCATCAAGGCCCCAGCTAGCTCAGTTGGTAGAACATAAGACTCTTAATCTCAGGGTCATGAGTTCATGTCCCACGGTAGGCACCATTTGATGATAGAGGTTTCTGTCCTACCTGGTCCCACAGATACTTTGCCCCAAATAAACACACAGACACTATATTAATTTATAAACTGTTGGCTGATGGTTAGGGTTTCTTACTGGCTATCTCTGTCTTAATTTTTAGCTCATAACTACTAATGTATGTATTTCTACATGACTTTATCTTACCAGAGAATGTCTGGGAAGTCCTATCTTCCCAGTCTCTACATTGCATCTCCTTTGCCATCTCTCTCTGCTCTCTTCTCCCCAGCCTTCTCCTCATCTGGTAGCCCTGTTTATCTTCCTGCCTGGCTAGTGGTCAATCAGTGTTTTATTCATCAACCACTTAGTTTCTAAGTTTATGAGCTACTCGCCATGTCTTCCGAAACCTTTCAGCACAAAGCTATGAACACTCAGTCAAAATTTATCGTACTTTTCTTCTGTCAAATATCTAAACCCACCAGAAAACCAGTGTGATGGTACTGCTCCAGAATCTACCCCAGGACTTCTTGAAGCAACTTCTCTCACCTCCACTCTATTGGGCAGAGACTGTGGGCATGCCTGAACCATCTCAGAGATGCCCCCAGCTAATTTCCATTCAACAGGGTTGCCTTCCTCTATGGCTCCCTTCATTAAAGGATTAACACCACCCCCTTCTCTGGTCCAAGTCTTTTTCTTTATTCATCTGGACTTTCTCTCTCCCCTTCCTAGATGTATGGGGCCATGCCCATGGATCAACCCCGGCCCAACAGCCTGACGGAATCTTGTTGACAGATAGGTAGTATGTCAACAGACACATTTTGTGAAATGGAAATTGGAAGAAGCCTAAAACAACAGAATAGAGGATGGAAACCCAAGCTGCTTTTGCCAGATGCGGCCCATGCCTGGTAGGTCTCTGCTGTGGCATTTCCTCTTTTTTAAAAGTTTCAGCCAAGGTCAAAATTTAAAAAAAATGTGCATACTGCCACTGTCTCCCAGTGGTGCCTCCTCTCTGTTGGGTGGTTGGTGTGTGGTCAGCCTCTTTGGCTCTTTGTAGTTCAGATTTGAAAACTCTGAGATGGAATGGAAAGGCTCAAGGAGGGAAAACCTTGCTTGCAGCAAGACTAAAAATCAAAGAAATGCTTCATACTATGAAAAAGGGCTTCTTATTCCCTAGCCTGAGACGGTGAGCACTTGGCCTTGGAAAGGGTAATCTGGAAAAAGTGAGGTGAGCTGTGGGCTGGGTCGGGATTTGCACATTGCACTGGAAGACCCACTCTTTCTTTTCAGGTCAATTGTATGTGGGTGGTATGCAATTCTAAGTGCTCATAAATTGTCTATCCTGATGTTAAGTTCAGCCATATGTGTTAGTGTGAGCTGAGCTGAAGCCAGAAGAATGGGCCAGAATATACTAGAAATGTGGCCAAACTGACCGTAGGTCTCCATAAGTCAGAAAAATCAAAGTCAGCAAGAGATATGACCCCAACTAGTGGAGTAATAGATTTCTCATCCCGAGTCTCTGCACCATGGGCGATTGTGCCTTTGGGATAGAAAAGGTGCTGATGGAGAAAGTGACTTCCTTGTACAGTTGGAAAAGCAGCATTTGCTCACTTAGGCATTCATTCACTCTTAGTGCCTCTGGTGTGAATTGCTGTCAAGGGTCCTTCATCTCAAATCTGTTTCCCTGCGAAGTAAGTTCCATCAGACTGCTGGAGATCCACTCACTCTAAGCACTGATCTTGATTTTTCTCTGCTTTACTGGAGAAAAAGGTGCTTTAGAAGGGAGGAGCTGAGCATTTCAGATATCCCACTAATGCCACAGTGATGACATAGGAGGTCCACAGTAAATTGTCATTGGAGGAATGCATGTGAGATGGAGAGATGGATGTGGCAACGAGTAACGACAGAGTTTAAAGGTCTCAATGGGATTAAGGAGGCAGTTGATGTTTGTAGAGGATCCCGAGAAGATCATACAGCCAAGTACTTGCTTGGGTGCCAATGGCAGTGGGGAGGAGAATGGTAAGTGCTCTGTGGTCTGTGTGGAGCTTCATGGGAAACAGATTTAAGGCAACAGTGAGGTCAGCTGAGTTTTTTGTGATTACATACAGCACTTTATATATTATACAGATCAACTTCCACCTGACATGTAGCTGCCATAATAGTCTCTCCTTCTGGTCATTGTCTGTTTGCTCTGTCAACAGGTTCTTTTGCTGTGCAGAAGAAGCCTTAGATTATTATATGATTCCACACGATGATTCTTGGGACTGTTTTCTGTACCATTGAGGTTCTATTCAGAAAGCACACACCAGAGTATCTCTCTGAACCATTTTACCATAGCATTTTCATGCTTAAAGTCATTTTTTCCCTCTTTCTGTGTAGGTGATTGACCAGACCTAATATATGCTAGGTAAGCCACTTCCCTCTGAGCTGTACCCTCAGCATGAATCAAGGCCTATAATCTACTTTGAACTGGTCTCTCTCTCTCTCTCTCTCTCTCTCTCTCTCTCTCTCTCTCTCTGTGTGTGTGTGTGTGTGTGTGTGTGTGTAGAGCAAGATGAATACTTATTCACTGGGGAATGTATACCAGTACTACCCATATGAAAATTAAGAATATCCCTATCATATGACCCAGCTATACCATTCCTGGGCATACAGCCAAAGTGCTCTATGTTTTGTCACAGAAATATATTGCACATCCATGATTATTGCTGCTCTGTTCACAATAGCAAGGAAAGATGATTAACCTTGATGATTTCCATCAACATACAAATGGACATTGAATATGTGATATATATGTATATTTACTATAAAATTTCATTAAGCTATAATAAAAATGAAATTACAAATTTTTCAGAAAGATGGAAGGACCTGGAAACTATTATGTTAGATGAGGTGACCCAGACTCAGAAAGATATATTTCATATGTTCTCTCACATGTGTGTGGCTCCTAGATTTTAGTGTTTATAAATAAACATGTGTAAATGCAGCTGTGAATGTGGGTACAGGCCATGGAACTAGAAGGAACACTGTGAGGGGAGACATGAGGAGGGAGGTGATGGAGGTAACATAGGACATGAAAGGAGACAGGAAGCTACTGGAGTTAGGGGACCTAAGGCGAAACCAAGGACAAGGCAGGGAGCAGAATGAACTACAATAAGTTATGTTTCTAGATGCAATAAAGAAACATAACACTTTGCTAATTAATACATAAAAATTTTGAAACTTAAAAGAGAATGTATATGTGTTTTTGAGGACTGCCAGGTCCTTGGGATATGGAGGCAAAGCCAGCCCAGTTGCTGAGACCACTGCTTTGGGATCTGCAGGAGAGCTGTAGCTTGCAAAGGACCTCTCACGAATGGCCCATCCACCAAAACATAAACAGAGTGGTCAGCCTGCCCTTCCCATACCGAGCTTACACTTCTCTCCTCAGCTCGTTGAACTCTTATTTCTAAAGCATAAAGATTCCCCACTTACTGAAAAGGATTCCTTTGAGAAATAGATGGCTCTCGGTCAGTGCTTATGATGTGTAAAATGACAGGAATTCTCCTGAATCCCTAGTATTGATATACATGGTTGTAAGGCTAATACTATTTAAATAACTATGTGTGGATGTAAAACTAAGATGAGCTCTTCACACTTATAAGTCATATGCATTTACTCTATTGAATTGAGTCAGATTAAACTCAGACTCAGAGAATCTGACATGTCTGCACGTGGAGAGTATGTCCTGTGTGATGATGCTCTTTCCCCATTGCTCCCCTCCACCTTGTCAATAAGCCTGCTGTGTGCTGTAACGTTGGCTGGCTCTGCAGTTGGTTTCAATTCATCACTTGCAACTCACATCCGTCTCAGTTGTCTACAATACTTAATGTTGTACCTAATGTCAAACAAGCCCACACTTACAAATGACCTGAGAAGTAAAATCATTATTCCACTTAAATGTTTCAATTGTAGATTACTGATAGATACATAATAAAAATCTTGGATTGTGAAAATAATCAAGTATGCATAGAAATTGTGGCTATGGAATCATTATTGTTGGCGGCTGGGGAGATGACTCAGCAGTTAAGAGTGCTGTCTGTTCTTGTAGATGACTCACGTTTGGTTCCCAGCACCTACATGGTGGCTCACAACTGTCCTTAACTCCAGCTCCAGGGGATCCAACACCTTCTTCTGGCATTCACAGGCAATGTACACACATGGTATGCATATATAACAAAAACCTCACACATTTAAAAATAAAAAGTAAATTTAGAGTCATCATTGTTATTTGAACATTAAGGCATCAGCATAGTAATATGAGAACACATTAACTGTTAGCTGCTGTAAGCTCAGGTAATGTCTGAGTTCTTATAAATACAACTTAGCCTCAGGCAATGGACAAGAAGCAGCACAAGGTCTCAGGTGACTAATAGTGGCTATTAACTGTAAGGTTTTTAGCTAAGTCATACTTAAAATATAGTAAAGCATAGGGAACAATAAAACAAATAGACATAACCAAATAAAATTCAGGACGATGGTATTTTGCCATTAGTTTCTTCATTTATTCTTTTAGATATAATTGCAATCCTGTTATCGTCAAAATTTATACACAGTAAAAGATACTAATATTGTACAACTCTGAGTATTAATGCATATATAGCTTCATGTAACTACTAGTAGAAAAACAATTTTATCATTCTTTTAAGTCCTTTCGTGTTGGCCTTTTGTAGTCAGGTATTTACATATCTTGTCTTTGTTAAAACTGGTAACTGTAGTAGGCCCTTCTCCAAAGCATGTAAAATGTTTCATTGTAAACACAATCTCTCCAGTTGGAGAGAGAGCCCAGTTGGTAAAGCATTTGCCTTGAAAGCACCTTTCAAACAGATTTACCAGAGCCTATATAAGAAAAGTGAGGTATAAGGATGGTACCTGCTTGTAACCCCAGTACCGGGGAGGCAGAGACAGGTGGATTGTTGGAGATGCTGGACAGAAGTATTCCCAAAGTGGTGAATGCCAGGCCCATGAGAGGATATTTCTCTATTGTTCTTTGCTGTATATCTTGCCTTATTTCTTAGAAAAATAACACATTGAAACTATGAAGCTTTTAGCATGCTTTTAAAAAACTTTTGCATTGAGATATAAATTATATCGAATGAAGTATGTAGAATATACATACATACAAGAGCACACACATGTGGACAGCACCTGAGGAACAATTTAAGGTTGTACTCTGGCCTCTACATACTCACTCACAAGTACACTGTATTCAACCACACATATGCACTAGACATACCACACACACAGACACACACACATACACACATGCATTGCACACACCTCACACACACATGCACTGCACACACCACACACACATGCATTGCACACACCACACACACGCATGCACTGCACATACCACACACATATGCATTGCACACACCTCACACACATGCACTGCACACATACTACACATACATGCACTACACACACGCCACACACATGCATTGCACACACGCCACACACATGCATTGCACACACGCCACACACATGCATTGCACACACCTCACACACATGCATTACACACATGCCACACACACATGCATTGCACACACCTCACACACACATGCACTACACACACATGCCTCACACGCATGCACTGCACACATACTACACATACATGCATTACACACATGCCACACACACATGCATTGCACACATACTACACACACATGCATTGCACACACCACACACACATGCACTGCACACATTTCACACACATGCATTGCACACACCACACACACATGCACTGCACACATTTCACACACACATGCACTGCACACATTTCAAACACACATATGCACTGCACACACCACACACACACATGCATTGCACACATTCCACACATATACACACTCACACACATTCTCTC